GTGAAATCTTACAATGCCTTGGACAACCACCTAAACTGGAGTTAGCCATTATATCCATTTAGATTCTGAGTGGATTTTGACAATTCTCCTAGGATGGATGCTTGCACTAGTGCAGAAGCTAGATTGTCTTGCGAAGGATTATATCCCAGCTTCAAATTTGTCTGTTTATCTTTCTGGCTTGTAAAAAAAAAAACAGAACTGTGCTTTCACTGCTCTGTTTGTGAGAGAACCCCTTTAATTTAATCCATGTTTGCACAAACAGCAAAATGAAAGCTGTGAATTGCTTCTTGCGTAAATAAGAAGGAATCACTGAGATTAACCTATTAAAGAACAATGTAAAGAAGAAGTACTGCAACACAAAAAAAATATCGTTATAATTCTAGGTTCTTTACAGGCTTTGCTGAACATCTGGAGATTCTTCAGTTCCCTTAATGAGTTGGTAAGGATAAATGCAAATGTTTCCCACAATGTGATCAATTTTTTTTTATTAGGCAACTGTCTCAACAGTACCTTTTTAAAAGAAAGGGTTTTAACCTGTAATGAATCAATCTTCATTGCTTTAAAAAACTATTTGCTTAACAGAGTTAAATGATTTAAATGATATCAGCTTCAGCATCATTTAGCTAAGGTGTCCTTGTTTTCAGACATAGTGTAGCAATAATCCATTGTTTGTTTTTGTTTATTGAAAGAAATACATAAATAATGCATATTATGGTCACAAATACAGTACCTATACACACTACATATAATGAGAACAAGACCAAACTTATCTCATTCATGAGACACTTCTTTCCTGGATATCTACACATCTGATTTTCTGTTGTATTTAGTTCCTTCAGATCAATAACTTAATTACACTGGATTTCTTCTTAAGTAATTATACAGTACTCTCTGTAGAATGCTTTGCAAGTTAAGAAGGCAGCTTGATATACCTAATTTTGCTTCAAGTGGAACAGCATTCCCTTCAGCATTCTTACACATTACTCCTATTGTTTTATTTTTTAATAGTGTGTAAAAAATAATATAAAAAAACATCTCAAAGGTAAAATTAAGTTATATAACAGCACTTTTAAAAATAATACTAAATTCATGTTTACTTCTATGACTAGTACTATTTTCGTAGATTTGCAAAATGAATCTTATGTCTTTGAAGCACAGGAAAAAAGTGATTTGTTTTAGTCAGTAAAAGCCCATTTGAAAATTTTGTGAGTACTGGTGAAAAGAGGACTGCTGTTCTTATGTAGTTCATTCTTTCACCTGAAGCTTCTGGATCAGGTTTCAGATTGGTAAGACCTTTTTGGTAATGTATTCATATTTGTAAAAACCATGACGGCAAGGTTTCATACTTCCACAGCCATTTGAGAAAAGAACTGATTGCTGTTTATCATTTTTAATGCACCTCCTCTTTGTTTCCACTTGTGATTTATACTGTACTGTATGGTTCTGAAGAAGTTCACTTGGTGAACTTTGAGGAATTTGAATATTTGTATAACGCTTCCTGGTAATGTTGTGTGTTAAAATAAAAAACGTTTCAGTCCCTTTAGTCTGAAACAGAAATTCGACGTTCCCTTAAATCCCAGAATGCACCTGGTTGTCCTCCTCTAGTCTGATCCCAGAGCAGCAATACGTTTGTGTACAATTATGGTCCCTATGTTATACAAATAGTCTAAATGACGCCTTGTATGATATAAAAATTTAACATAACACAGATTTAAATTTTACACTTTTAACTATTTATCCTAACATTTTGTTTGCCTTTTTAATTGCTTCCCCACATCGTCTAGGAACTGTAAATTATCATTATCATAAGTAGCCTCGTTTAGTTCAATATTTCCCATTTTGTATTTAGAATTATTGTCTTTACTACCTGCTTGCAAAACTTTACAGTTGTGTACATTAAATGTCATCTGCCTTGTGTTGGCCCAGTCTTAAAACTTTATCTACAGTTAATCTTGTATCTAAATTAGACTTCTAGAAAGAGCAAAATAAGATGTATTTTTTGTTGTTGAAAGGTAGAAGAATATGGAACTCATAGCAGTTAAATACAGCCAGTCTTCCATTTCCACACCTCAGAGATTTGTTTTACATTTCTAGTGAACAGGGTACAATTTCCAATGGATTTCCAATATGCCCCACCCCCCTTCCTTAGAATGGACTTTGGTAGAATTCTCCTTTTCTACAATTTTTAAAATGTTTACTTATTAAGCTACAGTATGTACATATTCTCTTCATAGCAATTGCTGGACATTAGTTTTTATCAGCTACAGCACTGGTGTTATCTGTTTATTTCTCTTACAGAATCTAATATGCCAGTTCCCAGCAGTTAAGTGGTTTCTAGGCTGCAGTGACCTTTTCATGGTTGCTATGGCTGCTAAGCAAGTGTAAATAAAGTATGGTGTAATGGGGGTGGAAAGGAGGGGGATGAGGGGGAAGAGGTTTCAGGTGTTTGACAAAATAATGAGACTACAGTTTAAAATAATTTCCTCAAATTGATCATACTTGTTTTTGTGGTAAAACTGTTACACTGTATGTTAAGCAAGCTGAATCATGTGAGGCTCTTTTTTTGGTTCTGATTAATTTTAACCTTTTTTTTTATTCAGAGGCTTTAATACCTCTTGAATCACTTCAGTGGAGCCCCCCCAGAGCAGTGTTAATTGAGTGATGGTTAGTCAGTTAATGCTCTTGCACAAGTTGATCAGGGAGCCTAGATCTGCTTGGTTCTGTGCAGGTCAGAGGTAAAAACAATTTGATTGAGAGAAGAATCCAGAGACAATGAACTTCTACAGAGATTAGATGAACTAATTTGGAAAAGGTAGGAAAGCACAGCGTTTTGTTCTTCATCACACCTAAACTCTCATTGACATATTTTAAAGAAATAGCATAACAAATCAGTGCCACACTTTTTTCAGAAGAGTAATTTAAATAGTCTATGATGGCAAAGAACAATTTTCTTAACTTTTACAATATTTCACACAGAACTTAAAGAGCACAGCTCTTTTTTCCCTCATAGCCGTCTTCCTTATTTGCCTTTTCTAGGAACACTAATCAAGAGTGTCCTGCTGTTTGCCTTTGGAACCTCTGTCTCGGGCCTTTGGTCAGTCTTTATTTTCTACCCTTTTCCCATTTTTGTTAATACTGAAATTTGTATAAAGTCTATGTTGATATTTGCAGACAGTGTCTCCCAATATTTGTATGATCTACTAACCATTTGATGCTTTTGGTGCTCTATCAGGGTGTGAAATTAATTGTTTAAGGTCTGCATTATTCCAATTAAATTGTGCAATGGAGAATACAAAGCTACGTCTGATTGTGCCACTGAAGGCACAATCAAATTGAAGGCAAACACTTCAAATATCTTGGTAATGAGATTTACTCTTTTTCACATGCCATTTCACTAAAAAAAAAAAACATTTAATATGGTAGACAGTGCATTGAGCAGATGGAGAAATGTTTCCAGTTCTTTTCAAGCTTTATCCTCCATAATTAAAATTATTTTTAGTTATGAATTTTATTATCCCTCATTCTCCTCCTTTAAGTAATTGGAATAGGTTGAATTACCGAACATCTAATTTTTGTCCTGTTCTGTAGCATTAATACATAATATAGCTCACACCTGAAGAAGGCTCCATGGCCGAAACGTTGTGTTCTCTTTCTTCTCTTTTTTTCAGCATGGAATAAACCTATTACTCGTTCCTTTGCAGCCTACGCATGCTGACGCAGCTACCCACCTGAACTACATAATAATATAGTGCTTTACTGGACCCACCAATCAAAGGGCTTAATCAATGTATATTATTTCACTAACAACTAAGTGTTATTATAAATTTATAATCTTTGTGTTGCCTTGGACAAGCAGCTTGGTGCCTCTCTGTAAGTGCAGAGGAATGTGGTAAGAGGCCCCACTGATGAGAGACACTGTAAAGTTGTATCCAATGCTGAACCATTTAATGATGTATAACCGTCAACCCATAACGGATCTGTAGGGTAGGTACCTTATAGCATCTTAATCCATTACAAGCTGTGATGTTGCACCTTAAAAGCTACAGTAGCACCCAACTGTGTTTTTTCTTGGTTAATTCATTGGCTCTTCATTGCTCTTCAACTGAGCTGGCAATCTGACTTTTCCAACCTCATGACTACAAGCAGTCCAAGTCAGGACCTAATCTATTCCCCCAAGACGCCAGGCCGGCAGAGTGAGTCAGTAAAGTGCAGAATTCTGCCCCAAATATTCTTTCTGCAACCTTTGGCAGGGCTATTTCCAGCAATGATTGGCAAATGTCTTTCTCTCCACTCTGTACCTGGGACTCTCCCTGCACAGAACGAGCAGCTACCAAGTCAAACCATGGACCAATCCAGGCAAGCTCTATCTTTTCAGTGGGAAGTTTAAATTCATCAAGGTTTTTTGGCCAACAGATCTTTGAGTATAAAACTATTTTTTTTCACATTATAATTCTTGAGAATTGAACTATTATTCCAAACACGTTTGATGTTTAGTTCATGAGAGTAAAATGCATATTTACTGTACTTGTATCTAAGAATATGAATGTAATCTAATTATATGACGTTGATAAAAGCTATGGGGTAGGTTATTCTTGGTGTATTTTAACTATATTGTATTGGAGTTATTAACTATTCCACTTGTAATCCTTGAGTAAATGATAAGCCATTCATATCACAGCAAAACTTTTCACAGATGTTATATAATGTTTGTTATGCATATTGTTTGGTTTTATATAAATAAATTGTGTATTGTATATTGCGAGGTATCTGTGGGCATGTTGTAACGTGATCTTTAAAATAGGATCCAGGTCAATAAATGCACAATCACACAGCTGTGAGGTCTAGACGCCCTAGTGCAATTTATTTACAGTGAGGGGGAAAATCAAAACGCCACAACCAAATGAAAACAAAGGCCTTAGCTTTTCATTGCACTCCTGCCTAAACTTCTTGATGAAGTCCCTTTATAACACAGGAAGAGCAGCTACACTTATCGGTAAAAAAAAAAACAAACAATTCACTCTCTCTGAGACTCTTCACAAAGTTTTCAAAAACCTTTCCCAGAAACTCACAAAGCACAGTCCCAGGTTAATCCTCCTTCAGGCAAACGTATATGCAGTAGTTCCATACTGTGCCCCTCGAACAGTAGCCATCCACAGGCTGACACAGAAAGCTTCCTGTTCTTTTTTTGGAGTCACATGACCTGTTGTCTTCCTACAATTGTTCAAGTGACAGAGCAGCAGCATCCACTCTCACACTATTTGGATATCTGTTAAGAAGAGGACATGTGTAAATCTGTAAATTATAATGTTTGATTAATTCCTAAAAATTGTTAAGGATTCTCACATGTTGCAATTTACTGTTACACTTTCTATTTAAAATCCTCATATCACTACAGGTCTTTGGTAAGATCCTTAGTAAATAGTATTTAGTGGCTGGTTTCTAATTTGAACTTTGGGATACTTTGACTAATAACCTTGAGAGAATTGTAGCTGTTGTTTTTACCCAATTTAAAATGGATAAAAGCATGTTAATAAAATATACAATATTTGCTGAAAAGTACAAAAAAGTGGGGAAATAAAAAAGCTGACAGCAGACAAATTAAGCCCTATCTCCAATCTACCATTTTGGTATGCAGGTTCAGTAAGATATGCAGAAATATAAATAAACAAATTATTATTTTAAGTAGATTAAAAGTATTAATACATTATTTTATGGGCAAACCATCTGAAATCACAAAACAATCTAAATTGCAGACATACAAATGCTACAGAACAGATGTGGGAGTGAAGTGTGAATGATTGTCTATATGACAATATATTGCCACCAGCTGTACTGCTCATGTATAACCACTTTTATTGAATTGTACACAGTAATGCTTCACTATACAATCAACTGCTATCCAAGTCTTCAATTATACAGGATGTCTTCATTCCTAGCTCTTTTGCAAGCAGTTGTATCCTGCCTAGAATGAGTATATTAACTAAAGTCTGATTGTCCTGATTTGCCACTTCCTTTCAGCTCCTCATTCCAAATTGAAATATTTGAATTTGAAAGTTTAAGCGCACATACTGCAGCAATCCATGACTTTATAGTACACATCTCAGTTTTGAAATGCAGTACCTGCTGCTCTAATAATTGTGCAGATTATACATTTTATCTAACCGAGAAGAATCAAATTTCTTTCAAGTTTAAATAATCGGACAAGAAGCAGAAAAGGAGTTTGTTGTCTTCTGCTATAAAAGGGTAAGAAAATAGAACTCTTACCAAAGGCTTCAATTCTTACACAAAGGTCGTGTGATATCCATCCCAAAAAGAATACCTGGAACAACACAAGGCAGGTTTTGTTTAGGCAAATTTATCAAATGCAAACTTGGCAAGAGAAGCCAGTGTACATATTAGAACAGTTAAGAATAACTGACCGCCACCGAGTGATCTTAAACTAAATGAACAACAGAGAATGGCTATAGAACAACACAGAAAAACTGTCCATGAGAAACATAATATTCTGCAAAGATGTATCCATGAAAGGCGTTTACTCAGAGAACAAAGACTATAATTCCAGAACAGTCAAGGATGAGGCTTTAGTTTCAGTCAATTAAATGTAGATGGATTTTTGCAATATTTGTTAGTATATAAAGTCAAAAGTGTCTTTCTAAATCAGTAAAGGCATACAACTGTAAACCAAGACTGATCAGGAAAAGGCTAGACAATTGAGAAAAGAATCCAGTTGTAGTATGAAAACAGTTTAAATGAAGGCCATAAAGAATGTTTGTGGAAGTTTTATGAATGCTTCAAAAGTATCCTGGATACGCCTGACCCTACGTTTAATTATTATATTTTATATCAAAACATCCCTTATTTCCCATCACTCTGCACTCCAGTTAGCAAAGTCTGGATTGATAAAAGATTCCCTTTGGTCTATCAGGCACATCTCATCTCAAACTAGTGTGGTATGAAACTACATCTGTACTCCCCATGCAGTGTATACACAAAGCACTTTACAACCCCAGAAATATTAGAATGGTTGAAATTGGATGGTCACTAAATTCATACAGTATGTGTCAAAGCAACAACATAAAATCAAAAAATAATACAGTAAGAATTTTGACCTACTGTACTAGTAGGACATTTTCTCCAAATGCTCATATTTCATCCATCGATACATTTTCGAACTGATTTATCCAGTACAAGGTGGCAGGGGAGCCGGAACCTATCCCCGCCAATGACAGATAAGACACCAGCCCATTGCAATACACACACAGGTACACTAGAAACAATATTCCTAGAAGTTAATTAATGTACCAGTATGTCTTTGGACTGAGGGAGGAAAATGGAGCACCCGGGGGAAACCCACTTGAACATACAAACTCCACACAGATAACAGCCCAGAGGTGAACCCAGGCAACTTAAGCAATGCTTAGTTCATATTTCATTCTCTACCAAAATATAAAATAGACTCAGTTCAGAAATTCAATTATAAATATTCAACAACTGGAGCCGAAGTAGATTCATATTATCCAACATCCACTAATAAAGACTGAAGCTTCAGATCAGCAAGAGAATGTCTCTTTTTTTATTTTCTTTTGGTCTACAGTTGAGTTATTCTACTCAGAATCTCAGTAGATTAACAGTGCAGCAGTCTACTTTTCATTACTATTTCAACACCTGTCAACACTGGTGCCCATTCTGTCAGGCTGCTCCTTCGTGCTCATCTCATGATTCTCTGAAGAATTTCTCTCAGAATATTTAACTTCCGTGCTTCTTTTTTGTCCTTGTTTTATTTAATTCCAAACAAATAATGGCTCAATGGAGAAAAGATTTACTCTTTTGGTAATAACACACAGAAAAAACATTTTCTTTCTGGTGGGATCAAGATTAAAAGTAATGTGCAAAAGAAAGAAAAATAAAGTCTTCAGCTATTTAAAGAGCTGACCCTTTCAATAGTGTCCTCAACCCTGAGCTACTGCAAAGTCATGATGTCAATTATAGATTTTCATTGACACAAATGTTCACAGTGCAGTAGCACACTAGTCATTGGCTCATTAATTAAAGCCTAAAAGGTACAGTCTCAGAGCTGGTTACATAGCCTATAAAAAGTGAGTAGGATGTCAAATTATTGTGTGTAGAAGCCAATGTGTATTTGTTAGGAATGGCCTGAAAATATTACATTCTAATGAGAACTATAGTGACTTTTCCTTCCACTTCAGCACTGACACTAATGCGAGGACATGGAAGATATATACAGTAGCATCTGATCACTTTCATTATTGTTTCCTCTCTGTCTGCTGTGTTTCCCCTGTATTGGGACTATTCATCATATCCATCGCTCACTGAAAAAAAAAACATTGCCCCCTATACTGAACATGCATAATAATCTTGTCCACATAGACACTGACATTTCATTAAGCTTCTTCCTATGCTCTCTACAAAGACAAACTGAAAAAAACATCACCCATCATTCCATCATTGTACAAAACTCACACAATACCCTTTTAAGACCACCTGAGTGCCACCAAGAGGGGTTATAACCACATTTCCATTGAGATTTCCCTTGGGTTGCACAGGAATTGAGTGGCCAGATGATGGGTTCCTTCTTGCTTCTCATCAAATGTGGGCTGCTGTTGGTCTTCCCTAATGTCCCCAAACCTTCATGGTTACCTCAGGGACATCCCAACAGTTATTGGCATGGGACAAGCCACTAGGGAAAATGATATCTTATTACCTGATCATCAAGCTCAAAATATGGGAAAAGTAAGTTATTTGTATTGGAAATAGGCACTGTGCAGGATTTTGGCACTAGAGGTTAGAACAGTGGCTGGCAGAACCTTTGAGGCAATAGCTCATTAACATTTTCTCGTGAAGTAAATATGATGATAGCACAAAGCACGTTACATTTGCACTCTTGCATTTACATTTTAAAAGCCATTTCATGAAGGCTTTTTCTCAATGCAATTCTAGACTATAAATACTGTAGGTGTTGAGCAGGAACTGAATCATTCAAAGTCAAGAACATAAAAGAAAACTAAATATAGAACCTATAACAAGAGGGATGGATATAACAATACTGTAGAATATCTGATGTGTATATATTTTTTGTGCAAACATACTGTATATTAGAATTTTGTTTTAAAATTATTTGTTTGAATTTTGGAGATTAGTTGTTATTGTGATAAACTATAATGGCGATATAATAATTGCAGCAAAAGTATTGTAGTGGGGTGTTGTGCTCTGACTGTTTTCAAAATTACAATTTTTAAATTAATAGAAAGAAATTACGTTTGAACAGTAGACTAATTTGTTTTGATATAACTTTACCATTCGATTATATTTTTTTAAAGACACATGGCTTAACCAGTTAATGAGCAGTCTGCAAGTAGACCATCAAAACAATTTGAAACATTTTTGAAAGGCAGACCTTTTCCCGCTGTGTTTTTTTAAATATAACTTAGTTAAAAGATCTAAATTTAAAAAAAATTAAAATTTGACCTACATCATTAAAGAGAAAAAGAACACTATACGTGACTCAAGTAACATTTTTATATTTCACTATTTATTAATAGTGAAAGTTTAACGATGCTGGAATAAAAGAAACACATTTATATTAATTACATCTCTGACATAAAAAACGTGGATAATTCCAAATGTCCTTCATTTAAACTGCAACAAGACTGAAGTCATATTTCTTGTATTTCTTGGCACCTCTCATCAACTGCTGTATGTAAAGCCAATGCATTTACTCCATCTATGGATGTCACTGTATTTGAATTTCAGTCTAAAATGCAGAACCTCGGATTGATATTTGATCCAGGCTTGACATTTGACCCACATATGCAACATACAATAAAATATCCTTCTTCTATCTTAGAAATATTGTCAGACTACGTACTATATTGTCGCAAACTGTATGCTGAAAAACTGGTCAACACTCCATACTGGAGTCTGAAAATTTCAATATGTCCAGAATTCTGCAGCCAGAATCTTCTGCAAGTGATCATTTCAAAATACTCATGCTCACCTTCGATTGGCACCTCAGCACCCATTTGACTTCAGATTGTCCTACTCATTACAAAGCTACAACTAAATACTTTAAAAAACAATTTAATCCCCTAAATTGACCATGATGCATATACTGTGAAGAGATATATTTGGCTTAAAAACAGTTATTAAATGGGCTCCCAAGAAATACATGCTGTACATATCATATTAATGATTAACTACTGCAGTGTCTAGCTCCTCCAGTGCAGGACAGGTCTCACAGAATGTTGCAAATGGTAAGCAAATAGCTGATTCATCAATCTGCCCCACAGAACAAGATTGGGATTCACCCCTTCCTTGATCTTTTCTATCACAGTAAAGGAAAGGTGTTGAAAAATCAATTTTTTAACATCACAGTAAATTCAATTACTTATTTAATGTTATTACTGCAAATAAATTGTCTTGGTGACAATTATTTTTGTTAACTCCCTGTAATTTTACTCTGTAATAGAAGCATCATGGGTTGCCTGCTCGTAGTTCTGCCTAATATGATTCAGATATGCCTGGTAATACCATCATTTATATTTTTGTTTAAACCCACACACCCACACACAAATAAACCCAGAACTTCAATTTCCTTTAATTTTGTATGCCCAATCTAAGTTGTCAAATTGGTAACACCATAGGAAGTGAGACATTTGCTGAAGTTTTAAAATGCAAAAAAAGCTGTGAATCATGTCTATACCCCTACTCTATCACACAAACCACTTGGAAAGACTTATTTCTGTTTTACTTATAGTTAATTACCTCCTTTCAGATTTCATACTGTTTTATGTTCATTCTGAAGACTGCATGTTTCATGTTAACACCAATTAACCTCCAGTGTGCCCTTAATTAACCAACCATGGTACAGTATATACCAAAAATCAATAAACCTGCACCTACCACACTGAAGAGGTTGGTTATGTCTTCCTGGGTGAGTCTGATATGATAAGAGAGTAGTATGTGACAATGAGCAGAGGCACTTTCCCACAGACCAAGCAATCAATCTATTAGTCTCCTTGAACAGTTACTACACTGTAGTTTGTGAGCCACAAAAGTATTGTTTTATTTCCTCAGGGAAGGAAGGGGAACAGAAGCTGGACCTATTGTTATGTCATAAGAAGAAAGTTTGCTTTTTTTGAGAATTAAAATGAAGAATTGGACTGTTTAGAATAATATTATCATGTATATTGAGCATTTGTCTTTGGTGTTGGTTCAATAACCTATTGTTTGTTTTAAATAAGTGTTCAAATTTGTTTATGTGAAGTGGTTCTCATCAGGTCAGGCTAAAATAAGACAGAA